CGATGCAGAATTTTGATCTTTATTTGATACAAATATAATAAATACAAATTATACAACTTGCATCTGTCTTCGTGGTCAACCTCTTGGTCGTGGTGGTTGTACCCAATTGTTTTGTGTGGGCTTATGAATAGCCTCATATAAACCATTTCTTAGTAAGAATATACCACCATTGTATCTTCGTGTAAGTCCTCCTCGTTCATTGAGGATCGGAACATATCTGCCGGTTCTTCCACCTCTATTTGCCTTAATTATATATAAACCTGGTAATTGATTGGATCATTGTATATTGGGAAATTGATCAGGTACAAGATGGGGATTACGTATGATATTGTCTCCTGTTTTGTGAACAGGTGTCATTTGTTGATTTCCATTCAGATCAATTTCATGTAGATAAATTCCATTATTGTATCGTCTTGTCATTTGACCATTACTATTGAGTATTGGAATATGATTACCTCGTTTATTCATCATCCATAGGTTGGGTAAAACATTGGCAACAGGTTGTAGTTGTAGAGGTACAACTACTTGAACTATTGGTACTCTTGGTGTTGCTGGTGCTCTTGGTGCTCTTGGTCGACCTCTTGGTTGTGGTGGTGCTAGTGGAGGCTGTCTTTGAGTTCCAGATCGAAGATTATATTGATTTTGTTGGGTTACTGGTCTTCTGGGATTAGGACATCTAGCTATTAAGATAAATGACATGAGATATAAAAATAACTTGAAAGATAAGAGTAATTTTTTGAAATTCATATTATTGATTCGTGTTATGGTATGGGATGTCTATTTATATAATTTTAGATCCTAAAAAAATATAAAAAGAGTGAGTATTCCTATTTGAGAAATCAAGAAAAGCAAAAAAAAAATAAATTTAAAGATGACTTATTGTTATTTTTTTTTTTTCCGGAATAAAAGAGAGTTTGCCAAACTTTAGAAAAATATAAATCGTTTTTTTTTTTTTTTTTTTTTGAAAATGTAAATCATTGTTATTGAAGAAGAGTTTGCCAAACTATAGGTTCGATATAAAATATAATTTTATATGTAAAAACATATGATCTTGCCAAATGTTTGAGAGGATAGATTTTAGTGAACACGTGCTCATGATATCATAGACATTATGAGTAAAATCATCCCACATCAACGATGTGGTTGCCCCTTGAGGGACCCTAGGGATGATACAATCAACGATTGTGTAATGTTATCTGATTGTATATTAGATATATAAAGGCAAATGTTAGCGTTGTCTCTAAAAAAATGTCAACTTTGGAACATATAAGAGAGAAAATGGACAAATTGGAAAATGATAATAAAATTCTCGCTGATGAAAATATGCGACTTCATGATGTTAATACTGAATTATCAATGGATATCAAATGATTAGAAGAAGAGTTAAAATGTTTAAAAGACAAGGATGCGGACTTCGTTGCACCAGAAACATATCATGCAGGGCCTATCAATGGAGAATATTCAAATATATTTTATCGAATTATTTATTTCGTATCGACGGTTATCGAATTTTCTGTACCACTGTTTATTTGGAGATGTTGTACGTCTGATTATCACAATATGACAATGAGTTGTAATTTTTCTATATTCAGGGCATACCTGTTGATGGCGTTTGGAGTTGTAGTACTTATTGTACTTCCAATTCTTATCTTGTTATCATTTTTTATTTTTAAAAATTTCAAATTTTTTATAAAGGTGTTTATTCCTTTATTATTTGTTGTATTTTAGATCAAGATTTTTGTAATCGGTCAATATATTTTTTTTTGAATCGATATAATAAAGATGAATTTTGAGTAAGTGACATTGTTATCGATGATAAATTGTTATATTTTATTAACATATTCAATTATAGGTTCTTTACAAGGTCTATATCATATGTTTCACCTCAATTTGTTTTCTTCGGTCTTTTGTGGATATATTATGATCGATGAACATTCAATATGCGAATTTTTAGTATCGATAATATTTTTTGGATTTTTTATGTTATTTTCATCGCATTTATTGACAATACTTCCAATACGTGGATCTATGTTATTGTGAATCTCCTTATTCTATATCATTTACGAGAAATTATTATTATCATAAGATTCATTGCAATTTTATCATTTACATTTTTTCATGAGGTGTTTGTGTTTACCTCCATATTTCTCAAGATCACTTATGATGTTCTATTTCCAAAATAATATAAATAGATCATGTATTTTATTTGGGTTCAATAAAGATGGGGACCATAATTATTAATCTTGATATTGTTCATATGATGTACAATGATCCTAAAAAGAGAAAAAAGTTTGTGGATGAATTGATGAAGTATAATGATTTATGCAAGTTACATTGTACTATTGATTCATCGGATGAAGATGAGATTATCAGGAGATCAAAAAGAAAACATGCAAAAACAGAATATAATGAATTTTTGAGCACTGAGATGCGTAAGATAACATCTATTAATCCTGATATAAGTCATACTGATTCTTTCAAGATGGCAGTCGAGGAGTGGAACAATCGTAAACAATTTTCAGGTATATATAGATATGATATTTTATGATGTTCAGAAAATATGTCAACCTCGATATTAACAGAAGTTAATTGTATTAATGCTTTAATTGCAAAGTTGAGAACTGAGAATACTGCGCTAACAAATAATAATCCAAGGATTGTTGTGGCAGAAAAACAAGCAAATGATATATTAAATAATCTCGGTATCAAGATAGAAATGGAAGATACGTTTGAGACCAAGATGGGAAAGATTGTTAAAGTGAGTGCAGAAGTAAAAGCTATCAAATCTTCCGAGGTAATTCGTATTACATCAATGATTCGTGGTTTACAGAGGGAAATTAATTTTATCGATAAAAAGGTTAATAAGATATTGACAAATTTTGAAGAAAGTTATTCGATTGATGAGACCTTGAGGTCAAAGATAGAGAGAATAGTTCGTATTAGTAAGGATGCATCTTTTATGGTGTAGTTTTTAAAAAATGTATAAATATAGAGTTGGTTCGTGATGTTTTTAAAAAAAAATAAATGGATTGAGGTCATATCCTTGATTTATTAATTATACTTTTTATGTTCGAGTGTTGTTTTTTACTATTCATTGTTATAATATATGCTTCACAAATTGGTAAAGGTCTTATTTCTATTCAACATATCCAATAGGTGTTGACATTATTTGCAAAAAATTTTTTTACATCATTGATCAATCATATTGAGGGTTTAATACAATCTGGCATCAACTAAGAGTTCTTGTGGTCGACCGAAGAAACAAGGTACTCCGAAGAAACAGTATGTAAAGAAACAGGATAAATTGGTGAAGAAACCTACTAAATCTATTACAAAAAAAGCAAGTGTGACTAGGAAGAAAAAGGTTTCATCAGATCTGACCAATACGATTATCGCTAGGATTGAAATTAAGTGTAATCATAGCTGTATTTGTTGTTTTCCTGGAAAAGAAGGTTCTTGTCTTTCGAATTGTTCTTGTTGTTTCCGACCAATGAATACCAATACGCATACTGTGAACAATGGCTCATCAACAACCTCAACCTAGTTTTTGTCCATCAATTTTTCCAGAGTTATCTGAATTAGAGAAACATTGCAGGGTGAGACCAAAAGTAGAAAGTCAAAGAAAATATAATTCAGTGATTCAAAAGATGTTCGATCAATGAGATGTTAATAATATGTCACTTAGCGCTGAAAAGAAATCGTCATTTCTATATTGACCTTCAATGTATTATATTTCAAATATGTTATTTCAAGATATGCCAGTAAACAATAATACACATAATAAGTTCGTGTTAGATTTTTATTCCCTTTGGAGAGTTAGGGTATATGGAAATAGAAATGATACTGGTTCAAGTCGAATTGCACTTCCTTTGTCAGTCGATCAGGATGGGGAGAAGAATGATAAGATAAAAATTAATCTGATCAAGACAACCTTTCATGTCAGAACTTTGATAACTAATGTATCTACGACTTGTGAGCTTCCAACTTCTAATGTAGAGGAGAATAGATGACCAGTTGCTGATACAGTATTTGAAGATTTGAATAATTTAGTATATAGTTCGATAAGAAAAAATTATTTTGTGGTGTATGATAAGATTCATGAGATTCCGTGTATGGATTGCGATCAGGAAATATATATCTGTGATTTATGGAATATTGATAAAGAATGGTGTGTAACTCAAACCAGTATGGCTCAAGGAAATCGATATATTAGATTTACCACCGGATATTATTATTATATTCAAGTCAATGATCTCGATGAAACGTATAGAATTTTGAGATACAAAAATTATTCCGATGAAATTCAAAGGTATTCTATTGATCATGAATGTGATACTGATAGTTACTTGAGAGGTTCACCCGGCATAGTATTGGAGACTATTACTGTGACTAGATATATTGATTTAAACAGTACAAATCCTCAAGCTATAGCATCCACGATGAATGCTATGTATATGATGGTTAAAAGTGTAAAAGATGATATTGATTTGCTCAAAAGAAACAGAGATAATTATGATTGTGGTAATGATGAAGCCCTTCATCATGTGAAATAAATTCATTAGCATGGGAAAGTCCTGGCATCAATCCCTTCTTTTTTAACCAAT